GATTCCTCCGACCACGATCCCTATATTTGCCATGGTCTTGTTGCACCTGGTTAGGCACGCGGGACACTACAATACACGGTGGAAATTCTGTCCGAGCCGCTCCCTGCGCCAGCATCGTAAACGACTTCTCTCTTGCCACCCAGACGGCGCGTCTATCTTGCCAGCTGTTGATCTTTGGCCCTGGATCACAATGGGTAAAAGCAAGGGAAGCACGTACAAGTCCATTACTGATAAAGCGAAATGGAAAATCTTGTTCATGACTGACGCGAAACTTCTTTGAACACGGTCATGTCGGCTACCATTATTAGCTCCTTGCGATCGTGGCCCACAAATCCCCGGTACCTTGTCTCGTATCCCTAGCACCGCTTGGACCGACTGGTCCTGCTCATCACTCGAGTCGCGGCGCGAGATTGTCGAACCCAGTGTAAGATCAAATCAGATCCGTAGTACACGAGCACCCACTTTTTCATCTTTCAGGTCTCGGGACAGCACAGTCAGCCAGCCTCAACCTCGACGTTGGATCCGCGACTTTCAACCAGTCATTTCACCATGTCTGTGTTGTGTGCCGTCTTCGACGCCGCCTCATGACCTTGAACTCCCCACCATCGGGATGTTGATCTGGCAATGACGTCTCCCTCCTAAGCTTCTCATTACTGCCATTGGCAGATGGACGGACGACACGAAATGAGTTGGAGCGGCGCTCAATCTGCCGCCGCCTGTCGTTGGCGGCTGGCACGCATTCGCTCTGCTCTGCACAACTCGCTCGCTCTTCATTAGCCGCAGCTGCCATGCGGAAAAGAGCGGCTGTGACCGTAGCATCTTCGGAGAGAACAATTTGACACCTGCCAGGAATACGGCGTTGTGGTGCAACCACGCCGACCGACATCTACCAGGGCTGCCACCTGCCCAGGACAGATTGGGACGCTCATTTGGTTTCCACAGGAACCCCTGAACAAGACGGCTCACCAAATAGGACCAAAATTGGTGGACGAATGAATGGATGCAGCCTTTCCGACCAAAATGGTACGTCAAGACCAGGACGCTGCTCGATTGGGTGTCGTGGATGTCGATCGCCATGTAATCACTTGCTTGGTCGAGCATACTTTTTCCAGAACCTCTCACATTTCAATCAGGTGATAATGGCAAAAGGTATTTATTCGACGGTGTTATGGACCAGGTTTGTGCACACGAGGTATGGGCGAGGGATCCATCGGCGCATCTCTCTCGATCACGGGATGCGTGGAATGCGCCGTAGAGAACAGTCCGAGGAGCATCCACAACGAAGACACGCCGACCCCATGCGCGTGCGCCATCTGAATCAGGAGAACCTCGAGCCAGGAGCAGCAAATGATCTCCATGTCTGTTCTGGTCTGCTGCGGACGAAACAATCAACCCACTCTCACCGGATTTCACGCATCAATGGATCGAAGCCTAGCCTGGCTGGGGGGCTGGCTAGTCCGGGGGAGGGAGTTGATATCGAGACGACCTTCCTCAAACATGGCAATGTCTGTGGTGATCGCCATTTGGTTGGCAGACCTGTCGCTGAACCCAGGCCCCTCTTGACCATCTTGACTCTGAAGAGTCTCTCATGGTTCTATGGTAAACAGAGACCACATCATCTAGACGCTCGTCTCCGGTACAGGGAATGGAGCATGCCCATGGTGAATGCGATGGCAGACATGAAACGATCATCGACGATGGCGATCATGACGATGCTGCAACATATCCACTAGTTTGTCAGCCTTCCTTCGAGTGTGTCCACCTGAAAAAAATAAGCAGGGGCCAGTGCTCAGCTGGGAGATCACGGAGAGTATCCAGAGGACCAAAGGCACATTGGTGGCTTCACGTGATCTCCGACATATCCCGGCAGCACGGCCTCGCGAGATGCGAAGCGGGCGGAGACGGAAGAATGCAGACGGTAGCCGTACGGTACGGGCTTGGGATCATGTGCCATCGGTGAGAACAATTTCCCTGGCCGTCTGATCAGCAAAGCAGCTCGATGATCTCCGGCCGGCTAAAAACGCACAGATGCCTCGTCCGGCGCCCAGACAACGGAATGGCAGAGCAGGAGGAGGAACGTCTTGCAGAAATAGTGGGCTTCGGGGGGCTGATAAGATGACGAGAGAGGTCATGGGCGAACCGTGATGGTCGAGGCGATGCCAGCGCACCCCGTTCACATGCATGCAGAGTGGGAGAACAGCGGTCACGGCGGAAGGACGGCGCAGACGGCCGCCCGAAGCCGAGAGGCAAGGTGCAAGGCAAATCCAGGACTCAGTGCTCGGCATGCAGTGTACAGTACCTTATGCAGCGCAGACAGGCAGTGCATTTTTTGTTTGTTTGTTTGTCCTCTTGGGTACGGTAGGCAGGTACGCAAAGATGGGTGCTGGTTGTGTTACGAGAGGGAAACAGCGGCTGGACTGTCACAGCCCTCGACGCGGCGTGTTGCATGGGGAAGGGACAATCCCACGAACCACAAGAGCAGTTCCTGCATCGGGTGAGCTCGCAGGTCAGATGCATTCGCGCGCACACCTCACACGAGGAACGAAGACGAATTACATGTCAAAGGGAGCATGAGCGACCCGCAAGCATCCGAAAGATCCGCCCAGGCGTGCCGAGGAGAGCAGTAATTTACAGTACAGGACTGCAGTAGGGCATAAAGAACAGAACTGCCAGCATGACAGTGGAGGAGGGCGGCGGGTCTGGTGGGATGAGGGGGAGGGGTTCTCCCTCATTGTTGGGAACTGGGGGGGGGGGGGGGGGGGGGGGGGGGCGTAACAAAAGGCTAAACGAGGGGCAGAGCCTGGATCCTGGGACTACCATCCTCGGCCACGGCCTCACATCAAGGTCTCCTACTTCTCAAGGGGGGACAATAATTCAATAGGCTCATTGCTAGCTAGAAGGGATGTTTGTGAGCTGACTTTTGACCATGGCTTTGAGGGAGGAAGGAAGCAGTAGCGGAGGGAAAGAGCTGGGTTGGTTTTGCCCGGCTCAAGCGTCCAAACCCGAAAATGCCCCTCCTCGGCTCTGGCTCGCTCGCTCGCTCACTGCTGCATCGCGCGTCTGTCTACCTTCTGCCCTGCCCCTCACCTCACCTCACCTCACCAACGAAAACCGCGCTTGTCACGAGCGGACGACCCGGGACCCTGTTGTGTCCTGCACGCTACCCACTCCACATGGTATCGCGTTGCATAGGTTCCATGCTGCCCTTGGCCTTGCGTCTTCTCACCGCCCCTCTCATCATCTCTCGCTCGGCGCCGCGCGCGCCTTGCAGCGCATCCAACGGCCAGAGAACGACCATTCAGACGTCGGACGTGGCGTGCGCGATGTCCCGGGCAGTAAGTACCTGGGTAATGGGTAAGGGGGCAGCAATGCTGCCTAGCGCGGCTCGCCAGATAACAACATGGTATTTGAAGTCGCGCATCCCACCCCCTCTGGCCCGAAACCTTCCTTTCTCTCCCTTTTCTTACCAACACAACATCAGTCATCGTTGCCAGATCATTGCTCTCCAATTCACTTCCCGTCACCCCACCACCACCCATTAACCTCGCACTCAAACTGCCTGATCACGCTTTCGAGTCGTGATCACCCCGTCGTCAAGACGTTTTCCAATCTCCTCAACTCGTAAGCCAACCCGCCATGCAGTTAACCCCGCCGAGGGGTCACTGTCACAAGCGGGAAAAAAAATCAGGACAAACTGACACTTCTCTGCAGGACTCACCACCCGTTTGCAGGAGCCCGTTGCTCTGCCTCGCCCGGGGGATCAGCGGACTCGGCCAAAGAAATCTAAGGCCAGTAGCAGATCAAACAGCTACTCAATTCCACGAACCCATTCCCCACGCCAAGTCAAGCCATCCCAACCAAGTACACCATGGCTCCCCACGCTGAGGCTGATTCGGGCTCCCTGCACGGAGATGGACAATCCAACGGCCACCAGGCCGCTGTGGCTGCCACCGCCACTCGTGAGCTCTTCACTGTCAACTCGTCCAATGTGACGTACACGGACAACGAGATCCTGTCCAAGTACACCTATCGCACCACGGACGTCGCCAAGGACGAGAGCGGCAAGTTTGTCGTGACCCCCGTCGAGACCGTCTACGAATTCAAGACGGAGCGCAAGGTCCCCAAGACCGGCATGATGCTGGTCGGCCTCGGCGGCAACAACGGCACCACCGTGACGGCCGGCATCATTGCCAACCGCCGCGGCCTCACGTGGCAGACGCGGGAGGGTGTCCGGGCCGCCAACTACTACGGCTCCGTCATCATGAGCTCCACCATCAAGCTCGGCACCGACACCAAGACCAGGAAGGACGTCAACATTCCCTTCTCGGACATCCTGCCCATGGTCCACCCCAACGACCTCGTCATTGGCGGCTGGGACATTAGCGGCCTCAACCTGGCCGAAGCCATGGACCGCGCCCAGGTGCTCGAGCCTACGCTCAAGCAGCAGGTGGCCAAGGAGATGGCCCAGATTGTGCCTCTGCCTTCCATCTACTACCCGGACTTCATCGCCGCCAACCAGGAGGACCGCGCCGACAATGTGCTGCCGGGCACCAAGGCCTGCAACGAGCACGTCGAGCAGATCCGCAAGGACATCCGCGACTTCAAGGAGAAGAACGGCCTCGACAAGGTCATTGTCCAGTGGACGGCCAACACGGAGCGCTACGCGGAGCTCATCGCCGGCGTCAACGACACGGCCGACAACCTCCTCAAGGCCATCGAGCAGGGCCACGAGGAGGTGTCGCCGTCGACCGTCTTCTCGGTGGCGGTGCACGCTCGAGGGCGTGCCCTTCATCAACGGATCGCCGCAGAACTACTTTTGTGCCGGCGCCATTGA